AGGAAGGAAGGAAGGAAGGAAGGAAGGAAGGAAGGAAGGAAGGAAGGAAGGAAGGAAGGACGGACAATAAAAGAAAGAAACTTCTCTGTGTTTTTTTTTTTTTTCCCCTCAAATTTTTCAGAATACCAAAATATTTGAAGTCAGCTATCGCTGCTTTTTATTTCTCTTAAATTTCCACCCACTTCCACACTATTTGCTGGGAATGAAAGTGGAGGAACTCAAACACTACAGGAAGGCTATTTTCCAATATATAATATTTGCAAAACTCCCAAAGCACTGGAAATCTCAAGAAGGGGTTGTCTGAGGCTTTCAGCCCAATTCCAGAATTATGCCCCCTCCTTAAATAGTTTTGGAATTTTTTTTGCCACTATCACTATGTCAAGAGACAGGTTTCTTTTTTTAATCACATAGTTACTTCGGTGGCACCACAAGTGCAGCCCTGCCTTCACTAGTGGTAACATGTACCAGTATAGCATCTACCTCTCCTGAGAAGGAAAAAAATATGCCAATGAAGAAGAACCTTACAACTCGTGTAAAACTGTAGGCTCATGAGCAATGCTCTGCCACTATTACTGTCCCACAACATCCAACAGTTTTTTGTTTAGAGTTATGCTAACGCGCTCAACACTTACCAGCAGTATGAGACTACACAAAATTGAGTATTGTTTGGTCTTGCTCATTTTAATGACAGTTCTGGAAATGCTGAAAGTTTTCTACATAAAATCAGATGAAGGAAAGATTCTTAGTGCTATAATAATAGCTTTTAACCCAAAGACTTTTACTTGCTTGTTTGGGAGTTTTTTTGTGGTGTCTTTTTTTTTTTTTTTTTTTTTTTTTTTTCCCTTTCTTCTATTTCTTTGCATTATCCCTTGGGAGATTGTTAGTGTTGCCCAAGCTCTGGATTTCATTTGGCTCCTGCCTCATGTACGCCAGCGATGGGCACAGTACTTCCAGGAGACACACAGTAATACCCATGTGCACATGATGGAAAGCTAGAATAGCCCACTTTCCAAACGGAGCTGCTAATCATTTTTGTTTTTCCTTTTTAAATAACTGCTGGTGAGTCAGGCATGACATGACTCCTGTAATCTTCACAGATAATTAAGCAATTCATACCTTGTGTCTGTGGGTAGACACTGCTGTCAAAACTCAGGCCCATTCTGGAAGTGGCTGAAGTGCTTTCTTCAGGGAAAAAAACCAACTACCACCTCTTGCTTTTTCCCACCTTTGATTAAATAATTTTAAATACCAAGAGTGCACAGCAGGGAAATTTACTCATGTGGGTCATTGCTTTTGAAGCTGATGCGACAGCTTGTTGCACGACTTCTCTGTACACATTCTTCTGTTTTACTGGGAAGAATGCAGGATGATGAGCAGAGCAAGAAGCTTTTGATTTTTGTTACTGTAAGTCAACAAACTACAGCTCTGTCAGTTCTGATGTTACACTTACAAGCAGTGTTTCACACCTCAGCAGTGTGAAAGTGGCTACAGCATCTGTAGTATGGGTTGAGATGTCCCAAAGATGAAATGGGTGGAGTCCACATGAAGCCAGACTCTTGCTGACACCCATCCCACTGCAGCATCTATGGGAGAAGTCTTACTCCCTGCACAGGTTACCATTTGCCTGTGTTAACAGGATATTCTGAGTAATACATGAGTTGTTTTCAGTCTTCTGAACTTTTTTGCATGGACAGTGTTATCCTAAATACTTACATCATCAAGGAGCCCCGCAAGGGCCTTAGGACATATGGACTCTGAGAGAGCAGTAGAAAACTTGTGCTAAGGGTGAAACAGGCTGCATTGTCAAACCAGACGTTTAAAAGAGACTCAGACTCTGCAACACAAGGACATAAATCAGGGAAAAAAAATAAGGTTAGACTTAGGCAATCCACAGTTAGAGGTGAAAAACAGTCTTTGTCCTCCTCTTCCCCACAGTGAAATAGGATGATTTCTTTCATAACTGCACCGTCCAGACCACTTCTTTGATTCATGGCTTATTTCCATTATTTTAGCAAAGGTGTGTCTCAGTCTGCACGTAATATTTGAAATAGGGCGGACTTCTAGCGCTTTCCATCTTGGCTAGTCCATAACCACATAGAAGAGTACCATGGAAGAACAACTCCTCAGTCTCATGCAAAGGGAGGAAAAAATTGAACACAGTTAAGAAAATGCAGATGTAACCCATATATTGGGAGAATTTTTCCAATTGCTGGATGTTGCAGATGGTGGAAGAGTCCTTCCAGAAAATACTGGTTCACCCATCATCCTGGCACATGATGAAATCATCGGAACAAAGCAACAGCAGACACTAGAATTAGTCAAAGAATCAAACAGGTTTTGACAGAAAATCTCATAGACCATTTCTAGGTATTTCTCCCCAAACCTTTTTTTTTTTTTTTTTAATGAGAAAAGCAGTTATGTTAAAAACATCATGGGGAATAATTCTGAACTGGCAGAGAGATGGGATAGATGATTGAATAGATTCTTTCCATCTCCACATTTTGTGATCTATGAACTCACCTTTGGGAAACTTTTCTCATTTCAGACTGAGTTTCACTCCCCCAGGGTTGTCTGAAGAAGGTGAGATATTTAACCTGAGCAGCATTAACACCACAACTGCACTTTGGCTTTAAAAGTTAGTGAGATGTTTCAGCACTAAGAAACTTCATCAGAGAGTGACTTTTCTCTGATCTGCTTTCTTTCTGGAGGCCTCCCTGTAGTATCTTGTGCTGGTTCTTCACGCTGCAAGCCAGAGATACTACTGTTAGCTGGATGTGCTGGAGACCAAACCTGCTCAGCAGCTAGCCTGACATTTGCTGCACCGAGTCCTCTGTGTCTTCCTTTTGCTTCCTGTCCCATTCCTCACAGGCAGAAAGCTCATATGAGCGACACCACTGAAATATGGTGTCCAGTGCAATTTCTAATGAAAAGTCCATCTTCTTGGCCCCTGGTGGATGGTCCCTTTGCCAAAGACTGTCAAGTTACTTGGAGGCCCTGAGAAATCCTGTAGCTCCATGATGCTGTGAACACCAAACTAGAGCTCAGTGAGCATGGCTGTGTCCTCATCCAGTAATCCCACTTAATGGGGCTCATCGTAATGCAGGGTAACTGGGTGGCAAGCGTCCAAGTCATTCTTTTCAGTTAAGGAATTTGCAGAGAAGCTCCCATGGGATCTAATGACTCACAACACTGGTTTTGTGGAGAGCAAACAGCAAATTAGGAGACAGCTTTCAAAGCATAAGTAGCCTGAGGCATTTGATCAGGCACCTGGGAATAAGGGGTGAGAATAGTTTGTAGGAGTGACAGTCTGGGGACATGTGGCAATGTCTCCAGCCCTGCAGAAGGTTTAGGGAGGTCTCCAGCCATGGAGCGACTGGTTTTCCTCTGGGTTCACTCACATGCAAGCAACTTCTCTCACAGCACACAAGCATTGCTTTGTCTGGGTTGATTTCTCCTGAACACTTGATTTTTCTCCAAGCAACTGCATTGATAGTCAAAAGGCCGGGACCCAGAACAATGTCTAATTTAATATACAGCTCAGAGGGTGTAAGGAGGAAGTAATGTGGATATCAGTTCTGTAAAAAACAATAATCTGGAAAAAGAGGCAGAAGAGGACATTCACCTACTTCAGCTAGAACAATTTGTCATCACATGGTGCTAAGGGGACAACATCAGCCTGAGACTCAGTTCTTCTTCTGATTCTTATTAAACCTTCCAAATTAGAGACAGTGCAAATTCATGTAAATAACAGTGTGTAACATAATCCTTCTTGGTGTAAAACTGACTTCTGGGTCCAAGAAACAAGAAAGTATTAAAGTTTGAAAAAGCCCTCAGAAAAAGTCTCATTGCATTTCTATTTGTTTTCAGGCTGGAGCTTTGTGGCTCAGGAAATGGATACAGTGACCTTTGTCTTGCGTGTTCTTCAGCTCCTGCTCTGCCACAGGCAAGGGAGTACAAGTGAGCTCAGTGGTCCTCCCCAAACCCCGACACACGCAGACTCCAGTGATCAGGAGTCTATGCTGATCTTGCCACAGATTTCCTGTGCGGTCTTGGATAGGAAGGTGTCTGTGTGCCTCAGTTTTTCCATCTGTAAAATAAGAATGATGTTACACTGCTTCACCGGCACAGCTAAATTTCTGCTTAAAAAGCAGTCTGTGACCTTTGGATGAATGGTGGTAATGAGCTGTTTGCCTTATTTATAAGTATCATTTAGTGTGATATAAATATTTTTTTGTATTCTACATACTGTGTTTATTTTGTGCAAGTGAATGCAGTCCCAATGAAAGTGAGAGACCGAGTATTTTGCTTTCCCACATAACTCAACCAGCGTTCCCGAGTCCTGATCTCTAACACCTCTGCTATTGCAGTCCTGGGCCTCTCTTGAGCAGAAACTGCTGATCGTGCCAAATTCTCTGGTGTTTTGTAATGTGGGCTAACATGCGCCGGGGTTTGGATGAGACCAATAGGCTCATTTTCACTTAAGGCCTGAGGCAGCACTGGAGATGAAGAGCACAGAAATGGAAGGTCAGTGTGTCCCTTCCCTTAGCCACACAGCTCCTGTTTGAAAACAAATAAAAATATCATGTGACTGTTATGATTTAAATTTTTAAAAAATAACTTAATTGCCTTTCTTCCTCCAGAAAGTCAACTTTACACCAAAAAGGAAGTTAGATGCTATTACTTCTGTACATTTGCATTGTTCCTTACTTGGAAGGTTTACTTGGAATAAAAAGAAGAACTGTAGACCTATTACTTCTCTCATTTGTCTAATTATGTGTGTCCCAGCCTATGTTTAGATGGCTTTCTGAAAGAAAGTTGGTGAGTATGACCATGCACTTTGAGAAAATAAGGTCTGAATAGACACTGACAAGTGATTAAGTTACTGCAGCCTAATGAGTGTGTCTAGAGAATGATTAAAGTGAGCACTTAACATGGGTGGGCTGGGAACATGTGCACAATCAAATACTGTGGCTTGGTAGATGATGAATAAATTGTTAAACCACAATAAACTGTCAGTTTTCCATGTCTATGACCTGTAGGACATGATGGTATCCCCTTTCCACTTCCAAAGGGTGGTCTCAGCTGCTTTTCTAGGGTTCCTTTGAAGTCAAACCGAGAGGCAGACACCCACTCAAGGGGG